AAGCAAACGCCCAAATTCACTAAAATACTCACACAAAGGGCGAATATTCTAACAGACGCATTACTGACAGATCGCGCGTGCAAAACGCGCGCAAGATATCATCCAAGCGTGGGCAGACCCAGGCATTAACATGCCTGAGTATCCAGCGTGAAGAACCTTGTCCTCAGATTGAAGAACCTTGTCCTCATAGTGAAGAACCTTGTCGTCAGAGTGAGGAACCTTGTCCGCAGAGTGAAGAACCTTGTCCTCAGGGCGAAGAACCTTGTCCACAGCGTGAAGAACCTTGTCCTCAGAGTGAAGGACCTTGTCCTCAGAGTGAAGGAACTTGTCCTCAGAGTTTAAATAACCTTCTCCTCAAAGTGAGGAACCTTGTCCACAGGGTGAGGAACCTTGTCCCCAGATTGAAGAACCTTGTCTTCAGAGTGACGAACCTTGTCCTCAGAGTGAACAACCTTGTCCTCGAAGTGAGGAACCTTTTCCTCAGTTTGAGGAACCTTGTCTTCAGATTGGAGAACCTTGTCCTCAGAGTGAAGAACCTTGAACGAAGAGTGAAGGACCTTGTCCTCAGAGTTTAAATAACCTTGTCCTCAAAGTGAGGAACCTTGTCCTAAGTGTAAAGGACCTTGTCTTCAGAGTTTAAATAACCTTGTCCTCAAAGTGAGGAACCTTGTCCTCAGAGTGAAGAACCTAGTCTTCAGAGTTTAAATAACCTTGTCCTCAGATTGAAGAACCTTGTCCTCAGAGTGAGGAACCTTGTCCTCAGAGTGAAAACCTGGTCCTCGGAGTGAAGAACCTTGTCCTGAGAGTGAAGAAACTTGTCCTCAGTGTGAGGAACATTGTCCTCAGGGTGAAAAACCTCGTTCTTAGCGTGAAGAACCTTGTCCGCAGAGTGAAGAACCTTGTCCTCAGAGTGAAAAACCTGTGGTCAGTGTGAGGAACATTCTCCTCAGGGTGAAAAACCTTGTCCTCAGCGTGAAGGACCTTGTCTTCAGAGTGAAGAACCTTGTCCTCATAGTGAAGAACCTTCTCCGCAGAGTGAAGAACCTTGTCCTCAGTGTGAGGAACATTGTCCTCATGGTGAAAAACCTCGTCCTCAGCGTGAAGAACCTTGTTCTCAGAGTGAAGATCCCTGTCCTCATAGAGAAGAACCTTGTCCTCAAAGTGAGTAACCTTGCCCACAGTGTGAGGAACCTTGTCCTCAGATTGAAGAACCTTGTCCTGAGTGTGAGGAACCTTGTCCTCAGAGTGAAGAACCTTGTCCTCGGAGTGAACAACCTTGTCCTCAGAGTGAATAACCTTGTCCTCAGTGTTAAGAACCTTGTCCGAAGGGCGAAGAACCTTGTCCTCAGCGTGAAGAATCTTGTCCTCAGAGTGAAGAACCTTGCCCTCATAGTGAAGTACCTTGTCCTCAAAGTGAGGAACCTTCTCCACAGTGTGAGGAACCTTGTCCTCAGAGTAAAGAACCTTGTCCTCAGTTTTAGGAACATTGTCCTCAGGGTGAAAAACCTCGTCCTCAGCGTGAAGAACCTTGTCCTCAGAGTGAAGAACCTTGTCCTCATAGTGAAGAACCTTGTGCTCAAAGTGAGGAACCTTGTCCACAGTGTGAGGAACCTTGTCCTCAGATTGGAGAACCTTGTCTTCAGTGTGAGGAACCTTGTCCTCAGAGTGACGAACCTTGTCTTCGGAGGGAAGAACCTTGTCCCAAGAGTGAATAACCTTGTCCTCAGTCTTAAGAACCTTGTCCTCAGGGTGAAGAACCTTGTCCTCAGCGTGAAGAACCTTGTCCTCAGAATAAAAAACCTTGTCCTCATAGTGAAGTACCTTCTCCTCAGAGTGAAGAACCTTGCCCTCAGTGTGAGGAACATTGTCCTCAGGGTGAAAAACCTCGTCCTCTGCGTGAAGAACCTTGTCCTCAGAGTGAAGAACCTTGTCCTCATAGTGAAGAACTTTGTCCTCAAAATCAGGAACCTTGTCCACAGCGTGAGGAACATTGTCCTCAGATTGAAGAACCTTGTCCTCAGTGTGAGGAACCTTGTCCTCGGAGTGAAGAACCTTTTCCTCAGAGTGAAGAACCTGGTCTTCAGTGTGAAGAACATTGTCCTCAGGGTGAAAAACCTCGTCCTCAACGTGAAGAACCTTGTCCTCAGAGTGAAGAACCTTGCCCTCATAGTGAAGTACCTTGTCCTCTAAGTGAGGAACCTTCTCCACAGTGTGAGGAACCTTGTCCTCAGAGTGAAGAACCTTGTCCTCAGTTTTAGGAACATTGTACTCAGGGTGAAAAACATCGTCCTCAGCGTGAAGAACCTTGTCCTCAGAGTGAAGAACCTTGTCCTCATAGTGAAGAACTTTGTCCTCAAAGTGAGGAACCTTGTCCACAGTGTGAGGAACCTTGTCCTCAGATTGGAGAACCTTGTCTTCAGTGTGAGGAACCTTGTCCTCAGAGTGAAGAACCTTGTCTTCGGAGGGAAGAACCTTGTCCCAAGAGTGAATAACTTTGTCCTCAGTCTTACGAACCTTGTCCTCAGGGTGAAGAACCTTGTCCTCAGCGTGAAGAACCTTGTCCTCAGAGTGAAGAACCTTGTCCTCAGTGTGAGGAACATTGTCCTTTGGGTGAAAAACCTCGTCCTCTGCGTGAAGAACATTGTCCTCAGAGTGAGGAACCTTGTCCGCAGAGTGAAGAACCTTGTCCTCAGGGCGAAGAACCTTGTCCTCAGCGTGAAGAACCTTGCCCTCACAGTGAAGAACCTTGTCCTCAAAGTGAGGAACCTTGTCCACAGTTCGAGGAGCCTTGTCATCAGCGTGAAGAACCTTGTCCTCAGAGTGAAGGACCTTGTCCTCAGACTGAAGGACCTTGTCCTCAGAGTTTAAATAACCTTGTCCTTAAATTGAGGAACCTTGTCCACAGTGTTGGGAACCTTGTCCTCAGGGTGAAGAACCTTGTCCGCAGAGTAAATAGTCTTGTCCTCAGAGTGAGGAACCATGTCCTCAGAGTGAGGAACCTTTGTCCTCAGAGTGAAGAACCTTGTCCTCAGAGTGAAGAACCCTGCCCTCAAAGTGAGGAACCTTGTCCACAGTGTGAGGAACGTTTTTCTCAGATTGAAGAACCTTGTCCTCAGAGTGAGGAACCTTGTCTTCAGAGTGAAGAATTTTGTCCTCAGAGTGAAGAACCTTGTCCTCAAAGTGAGGAACCTTGTCCACAGGGTGAGTAACCTTGTCCTCAGATTGAAGAACCTTGTCTTCAGAGTGAGGAACCTTGTCCTCAGAGTGAACAACCTTGTCGTCAAAGTGAGGAACCTTGTCCACAGTGTGAGGAACCTTGTCTTCAGATTGAAGAACCTTGTCCTCAGAGTGAAGGACCTTCTCCTCATAGTTTAAATAACCTTCTCCTCAAAGTGAGGAACCTTGTTCTAAGTGTGAGGAACCTTGTCGTTTGATTGAAGAACCTTGTTCTCAGAGTGAGGAACCTTGTCCTCAGAGTCAGGAACCTTGTCCTCTGGGTGAAGAACCTCGTCCTCAAAGTGAGGAACCTTGTCCACAGTGTGACGAACCTTGTCCTCAAGTTGAGGAACCTTGTCCTCAGAGTGAGGAACCTTCTCCTCAGAGTGAAGAACCTGGTCCTCGGAGTGAAAAACCTTGTCCTCAGAGTGAAGAACCTTGTCCTCAGTGTGAGGAACATTGTCCACAGGGTGAAAAACCTTGCCCTCAGCGTGAAGAACCTTGTCCTCAGAGTGAAGAACCTTTTCCTCATCGTGAAGAACCTTGTCCTCCGGGTGAGGAACCTTGTCCACAGAGCGAAGAACCTTGTCCTCAGAGTGAAGAACCTTGTCCTCAGAGTTTAAAAAACCTTGTCCTCAGAGTGAAGAACCTTGTCCTCAAAGTGAGGAACCTTGTCCACAGTGTGAGGAACCTTGTCCTCAGATTGAAGAACCTTGTCCTCAGAGTGAGGAACCTTGTCCTCAGAGTGAAGAACCTTGTCCTCAGATTTTAAATAACCTTGTCCTCAAAGTAAGGAACCTTGTCCTCAGATTGAAGGACCTTGTCCTCAGAATGAAGAACCTCGTCCTCAAAGTGAGGAACGTTGTCCACAGTGTGACGAACCTTGTCCTCAAGTTGAAGAATCTTGTCTTCAGAGTGGGGAACCTTCTCCTCAGAGTGAAGAACCTGGTCCTCGGAGTGAAGAACCTTTTCCTCAGAGTGAAGAACCTTGTCCTCAGTGTGAGTAACATTGTCCACAGGGTGAAAACCTTGTCCTCAAGTTGAAGAACCTTGTCCTCAGAGTGAGGAACCTTCTCCTCAGAATAAAGAAGCTGGTCCTCAGAGTGAAGAACCTCGTCCTCAAAGTGCGGAACGTTGTCCACAGTGTGACGAACCTTGTCCTCAAGTTGAAGAATCTTGTCTTCAGAGTGGGGAACCTTCTCCTCCGAGTGAAGAACCTGGTCCTCGGAGTGAAGAACCTTTTCCTCAGAGTGAAGAACCTTGTCCTCAGTGTGAGTAACATTGTCCACAGGGTGATAACCTTGTCCTCAAGTTGAAGAACCTTGTCCTCAGAGTGAGGAACCTTCTCCTCAGAATCAAGAAGCTGGTCCTCAGAGTGAAGAACCTTGTCCTCAGTGTGAGGAACATTGTCGTCCGGGTGAAAAACCTTGTACTCAGGTAAATTAATGCCTGGGTCTCAATTTGTGTATTTAGCGAAAATAAACAAAAAATCATAAAAGATTAAGTATGGCTTGATTATGACCATTCAAGTTTTATATGATTTATCAAAGGAGATTCTAAAAGTTGACCCAGTTTTCGTTGTCATGGCTACGATCACGTGATGTATATTTCGGAAAACCACACGAATTCGAAAAATGATACTTTTGATTCACAGGCTCTGCAGCAGTATATTTCGTGACTGGGAGGACGCAGAATTGCGATAATCATTCACACATAATATCACTATTTATTGAATAAATTCGGAAAGTTTACATTTAGGCTTCGTTTCATTATTTTATGCGGCTATACTATGATGATCGGCAACAAACGAATGTTAATCGCGTCATTAAATGTTATCTACAAATAAATGTGCGGTTTCCAAATTAACGCAGGAAACTTTGTTCCCTTGTTAATGTTTTTAGCTAACAAACATTGCAAAATTTCGTCAAATTACCCTGCCGCAAGTCGAACGCGTTTTTCGCGTGATGAATTTCACGTGCCATAATGAAACTGTCTGCTGCTTATTGTAAGGGATATTATATTTCCAATAACAACATCCATTGCGCATTCAAGCCGATATCTTGAAGCATAGTTAATGCTTGAAGGGAAGCGTGTCATAGTGGAAAAGACCGAGTGAAATATATGTGCTATTAAATAGGAATTCACAAGCTATTTTTCATTGAAAATAAGAAACAGTCAACAATTAATACTGAATAATCGCAAGATAGCGCACTATAAGAAGCTGTTATTTATCAGCAGTTCAAAAGTCAGCTGTCGCAAATGATACAATACTTTTTGCTATACAAATAGCCAATTATTACATCAAAACTGAATAGTATACCGACTTCTTCGTATTGTACATTCCAAAATAATCCTGTCGCTCATATATACTATATTTTGATTTGAAGCAAACACCCAAATTCACTAAAATACTCACACAAAGGGCGAATATTCTAACAGACGCATTACTGACAGATCGCGCGTGCAAAACGCGCGCAAGATAACATCCAAGCGTTGGCAGACCCAGGCATTAACATGCCTGAGTATCCAGCGTGAAGAACCTTGTCCTCAGATTGAAGAACCTTGTCCTCATAGTGAAGAACCTTCTCGTCAGAGTGAGGAACCTTGTCCGCAGAGTGAAGAACCTTGTCCTCAAGGCGAAGAACCTTGTCCTCAGCGTGAAGAACCTTGTCCTCACAGTGAAGAACCATGTCCTCAAAGTGAGGAACCTTGTCCACAGTTCGAGCAGCCTTGTCATCAGCGTGAAGAACCTTGTCCTCAGAGTGAAGGACCTTGTCCTCAGAGTGAAGGACCTTGTCCTCAGAGTTTAAATAACCTTGTCCTTAAATTGAGGAACCTTGTCCACAGTGTGAGGAACCTTGTCCTCAGGGTGAAGAACCTTGTCCTCAGAGTAAATAGTCTTGTCCTCAGAGTGAGGAACCATGTCCTCAGAGTGAGGAACCTTTGTCCTCATAGTGAAGAACTTGTCCTCAGAGTGAAGAACCATGTCCTCAAAGTGAGGATCCTTGTCCACAGTGTGAGGAACGTTTTTCTCAGATTGAAGAACCTTTTCCTCAGAGTGAGGAACCTTGTCCTCAGAGTGAACAACCGTGTCGTCAAAGTGAGGAACCTTGTCCTCAGTGTGAGGAACCTTGTCTTCAGATTGAAGAACCTTGTCCTCAGAGTGAAGAACCTTGTCCTCAGGGTGAAGGACCTTGTCCTCAGAGTTTAAATAACCTTGTCCTCAAAGTGAGGAACCTTGTTCTAAGTGTGAGGAACCTTGTCCTTTGATTGAAGAACCTTGTCCTCAGAGTGAGGAACCTTGTCCTCAGAGTGAGGAACCTTGTCCTCAGGGTGAAGAACCTCGTCCTCAAAGTGAGGAACCTTGTCCACAGTGTGACGAACCTTGTCCTCAAGTTGAGGAACCTTGTCCTCAGAGTGAGGAACCTTCTCCTCAGAGTGAAGAACCTGGTCCTCGGAGTGAAAAACCTTGTCCTCAGAGTGAAGAACCTTGTCCTCAGTGTGAGGAACATTGTCCACAGGTTGAAAAACCTTGTCCTCAGCGTGAAGAACCTTGTCCTCAGAGTGAAGAACCTTGTTCTCATCGTGAAGAACCATGTCCTCCGGGTGAGGAACCTTGTCCGCAGAGCGAAGGGCCTTGTCCTCAGAGTGAAGAACCTTGTCCTCAGAGTTTAAATAACCTTGTCCTCAGAGTGAAGAACCTTGTCCTCAAAGTGAGGAACCTTGTCCACAGTGTGAGGAACCTTGTCCTCAGATTGAAGAACCTTGTCCTCAGAGTGAGGAACCTTGTCCTCAGATTTTAAATAACCTTGTCCTCAGGGTGAAGAACCTTGTCCTCAGATTTTAAATAACCTTGTCCTGAAAGTGAGGAACCTTGTCCTCAGATTGAAGGACCTTGTCCTCAAAGTGAAGAACCTTGTCCTCAAAGTGAGGAACGTTGTCCACAGTGTGACGAACCTTGTCCTCAAGTTGAAGAACCTTGTCCTCAGATTGGGGAACCCTCTCCTCAGAGTGAAGAACCTGGTCCTCGGAGTGAAGAACCTTGTCCTCAGAGTGAAGAACCTTGTCCCCAGTGTGAGGAACATTGTCCACAGGGTGAAAACCTTGTCCTCAAGTTGAAGAACCTTGTCCTCAGAGTGAGGAACCTTCTCCTCAGAATGAAGAAGCTGGTCCTCAGAGTAAAGAACCTTGTCCTCAGTGTGAGGAACATTGTCATCAGGGTGAAAAACCTTGTACTCAGGTACATTAATGCCTGGGTCTCAATTTGTATATTTAGCGAAAATAAACAAAAAATCATAAAAGATTAAGTATGGCCTTGATTATTACCATTCAAGTTTTATATGATTTATCAAAGGAGATTCTAAAAGTTGACCTAGTTTTCGTTGTCATGGCTACGATCACGTGATGTATATTTCGAAAAACCACACGAATTCGAAAAATGATACTTTTTATTCACAGGCTCTGCAGCAGTATATTTCGTGACTGGCAGGACGCAGAATTGCGATAATCATTCACGCATAATATCACTATTTATTGAATAAATTCGGAAAGTTTACATTTAGGCTTCGTTTCATTATTTTATGCGGCTATACTATGATGATCGGCATCAAACGAATGTTAATCGCGTCATTAAATGTTATCTACAAATAAATGTGCGGTTTCCAAATTAACGCAGGAAACTTTGTTCCCTTGTTAATGTTTTTAGCTAACAAACATTGCAAAATTTCGTCAAATTACCCTGCCGCAAGTCGAACGCGTTTTTCGCGTGATGAATTTCACGTGCCATAATGAAACTGTCTGCCGCTTATTGCAAGGGATATTATATTTCCAATAACAACATCCATTGCGCATTCAAGCCGATATCTTGAAGCATAGTTAATGCTTGAAGGGAAGCGTGCCATAGTGGAAAAGACCGAGTGAAATATATGTGCTATTAAATAGGAATTCACAAGCTATTTTTCATTGAAAATAAGAAACAGTCAACAATTAATACTGAATAATCGCAAGATAGCGCACTATAAGAAGCTTTTATTTATCAGCAGTTCAAAAGTCAGCTGTCGCAAATGATACAATACTTATTGCTATACAAATAGCCAATTATTACATGAAAACTGAATAGTATACCGACTTCTTCGCATTGTATATTCCAAAATAATCCTGTCGCTCATATATACTATATTTTGATTTGAAGCAAACGCCCAAATTCACTAAAATACTCACACAAAGGGCGAATATTCTAACAGACGCATTACTGACAGATCGCGCGTGCAAAACGCGCGCAAGATATCATCCAAGCGTGGGCAGACCCAGGCATTAACATGCCTGAGTATCCAGCGTGAAGAACCTTGTCCTCAGATTGAAGAACCTTGTCCTCATAGTGAAGAACCTTGTCGTCAGAGTGAGGAACCTTGTCCGCAGAGTGAAGAACCTTGTCCTCAGGGCGAAGAACCTTGTCCACAGCGTGAAGAACCTTGTCCTCAGAGTGAAGAACCTTGTCTTCATAGTGAAGAACCTTGTACTGAAAGTGAAGAACCTTGTCCTCGGAGTGAAGAAACTTTCCTCAGGGTGAATAACCTTGTCCTCAGTGTTAAGAACCTCGTCCTCAGGGAGAAGAACCCTGTCCTCAGCGTGAAGAACCTTGTCCTCAGAGTGAATAACCTTGTCCTCATAGTGAAGAACCTTGTCTTCAGAGTGAAGAACCTTGTCCTCAGTGTGAGGAACATTGTCCTCAGGGTGAAAAACCTCGTCCTCTGCGTGAACAGCCATGTCCTCAGAGTGAAGAACCTTGTCCTCATACTGAAGAACTTTGTCCTCAAAGTGAGGAACCTTGCCCGCAGTGTGAGGAACCTTGTCCTCAGATTGAAGAACCTTGTCCTCAGTGTGAGGAACCTTGTCCTCAGAGTGAAGAACCTTGTTATCCGAGTGAAGAACCTTGTCCTCAGAGTGAAGAACCTGGTCCTCCGTGTGAGGAACATTGTCCTCAGGGTAAAAAGCCCCGTCCTCATGGTGAAGAACCTTATCCCCAGAGTGAAGAACCTTGTCCTCATACTGAAGAACCTTGTCCTCAAAGTGAGGAACCTTGTCCACCGTGTGAGGAGCCTTGTCCTCAGATTGAAGAACCTTGTCCTCAGTGTGAGGAATCTTGTCCTCAGTGTGAAGAACATGGTCCTCGCAGAGAAGAACCTTGTCCTCAGAGTGAAGAACCTTGTCCTCAGTGTGAGGAACATTGTCCTCAGGGTGAAAAACCTCGTTCTCAGCGTGAAGAACCTTGTGCCCAGAGTGAACAACCTTGTCCTCATAGTGAAGAACCTCGTCCTCAGAGTGAAGAACCTTGTCGTCAGTGTGAGGAACATTGTCCTCAGAGTGAAGAACCTTGTCCTCAGAGTGAAGAACCTTGTCCTCATGCTGAAGAACCTTGTCCTCAGAGTGAGGAACCTTGTCCGCAGAGTAAAGAACCTTGTCCTCAGATTGAAGAACCTTGTCCTCAGAGTGAAGAACATTGTCCTCAGTGTGAGGAACATTGTCCTCAGGGTGCAAAACCACGTTCTCAGCGTTTAGAACCTTGTTCTCAGGGTGAAGAACCCTGTCCTCATAGTCAAGAACCTTGTCCTCAAAGTGAGTAACCTTGTCCACAGTGTGAGGAACCTTGTCCTCAGATTGAGGAACCTTGTCCTCAGCGTGAGGAACCTTGTCCTCAGAGTGAAGAACCTTGTCCTCGGAGTGAAGAACCTTGTCCTCAGAGTGAATAACCTTTTCCTCAGTGTTAAGAACATTGTTTTCAGGGTGAAGAACCTTGTCCTCAGCGTGAAGAACCTTGTCCTCAGAGTGAAGAACCTTGCCCTCAGCGTGAAGAAGCTTGTCCTCAAAGGGAGTAACCTTATCCTCAGTGTGAGGAATCTTGTCCTCCGGGTGAAAAACCTTGTCGTCCGGGTGAAAAATCTCGTCCTCAGCGTGAAGAACCTTTTCCTCAAAGTGAGGAACCTTGTCCACAGTGTGAGGAACCTTGTCGTCAGATTGAAGAACCTTGTCCTCAGTGTGAGGATCCTTGTCCTCAGACTGAAGAAACTTGTCCTCGGAGTGAAGAACCTTGTTCTCAGAGTGAATAACCTTGTCCTCAGTGTTAAGAACCTCGTCCTCAGAATGAAGAACCTTATCTTCATAGTGAAGAACCTTGTCCTCAAAGTGAGGAAGCATGTCCACAGTCTGAGGAACCTTGTCCTCAGATTGAAGAACCTTGTCCTCAGTGTGAGGATCCTTGTCCTCAGACTGAAGAAACTTGTCCTTGGAGTGAAGAACCTTGTTCTCAGAGTGAATAACCTTGTCCTCAGTGTTAAGAACCTTGTCCTCAGAGTGAAGAACCTTGTCTTCATAGTGAAGAACCTTGTCCTCAAAGTGAGGAACCATGTCCACAGTCTGAGGAACCTTGTCCTCAGATTGAAGAACCTTGTTCTCAGTGTGAGGATCCTTGTCCTCAGACTGAAGAAACTTGTCCTCGGAGTGAAGAACCTTGTTCTCAGAGTGAATAACCTTGTCCTCAGTGTTAAGAACCTGGTCCTCAGAGTGAAGAACCTTGTCTTCATAGTGAAGAACCTTGTCCTCAAAGTGAGGAACCATGTCCACAGTCTGAGGAACCTTGTTCTCAGATTGAAGAACCTTGTCCTCAGTGTGAGGATCCTTGTCCTCAGACTGAAGAAACTTGTCCTTGGAGTGAAGAACCTTGTTCTCAGAGTGAATAACCTTGTCCTCAGTGTTAAGAACCTTGTCCTCATAGTGAAGAACCTTGTCTTCATAGTGAAGAACCTTGTCCTCAAAGTGACGAACCATGTCCACAGTCTGAGGAACTTTGTCCTCAGATTGAAGAACCTTGTCCTCAGTGTGAGGAACCTTGTCCTCAAAGTGAAGAACCTTGTCCTCAGTGTGAGGAACCTTGTCCTCAGAGTGAATAACCTTGTCCTCAGTGCTAAGAACCTTGTTCTCAGGTTGAAAAACCTCGTCCTCAGCGTGAAGAACCTTGTCCTCAGAGTGAAGAGCCTTGTCCTCATGGTGAACAACCTTGTCCTCAAAGTGAGGAACCTTGTCCACAGTGTGAGGAACCTTGTTCTCAGATTGAAGAACCTTGTCCTCAGAGTGAAGAACATTGTCCTCAGAGTGAAGAACCTTGTCCTCGGAGTGAAGAACCTTGTCCTCTGGGTGAATAGCCTTGTCCTCAGATTGAAGAGCCTTGTCCTCAGAGTGAGGAACATTGTCCCCAGGGTGAAAAACCTTGTACTCAGCGTGAAGAACCTTGGCCTCAGTGTGAAGAACCTTGTCCTCATAGTGAAGAACCTTGTCCTCAGAGTGAGGAACCTTGTTCGCAGAGTGAAGAAACTTGTCCTCAGAATGAAGAACTTTGTCCTCAGAGTTTAAATAACCTTGTCTTCAAAGTGAGGAACCTAGTCCTCAGATTGAAGGACCTTGTCCTCAGAGTGAGGAACGTTGTCCGCAGAGCGAGGAACCTTGTCCGCGGAGTGAAGAACCTTGTCCTCAGAGGGAAGAACCTTGTCCTCAGAGTGAAGAACCTTGCCCTCAGAGTGAGGAACATTTGCCACGGTGTGAGAAACCTTGTCCTCAGATTGAAGAACCATGTCCTCAGAGTGAAGAAGCTTGTCGTCAGAGTGAAGAACTTTGTCCTCATAGTGAAGAACCTTGTCTTCAGAGTGAAGAACCTTGTCCTCAGTGTGAGGAACATTGTCCTCAGGGTGAAAACCTTGTCCTCAGGCTGAAGAACCTTGTCCACAGAGAGAAGAACCTTGTCCTCATAGTGAAGAATCTTGTCCTCAGAGTGAGGAACCTTGTCCGCAGGGTGAAGAACCTTGTCCTCAGAGTGAAGAACCTTGTACTCAGAGTGAAGAACCTTGACCTCAAAGTGAGGAACCTTGTCCACAGTGTCAGTAACCTTGTCCTCAGATTGAAGAACCTTGTCATCAGAGTGAAGAAGCTTGTCCTCAGAGTGAAGAACCTGGTCCTCAGAGTGAAGAACCTTGTTCTCGAAGTGAGGAACCTTGTTCACAGTGTGAGGAACCTTCTCCTCAGATTGAAAAACCTTGTCCTCAGCGTGAAGAACCTTGTCCTCAGGTTGAAGAACCTTGTCCTCAGAGTGAAGGACCTTGTCCTCAGAGTGAAGGACCTTGTCCTCAGAGTTTAAATAACCTTGTCCTCAAAGTGAAAACCTTGTCCACAGTGTGAGGTACCTTCTCCTCAGATTGAAAAACCTTGTCCTCAGTGTGAGGAACCTTGTCCTCGGAGTGATGAACCTTGTCCTCGGAGTGAAGAACCTTGTTCTCAGAGTGAATAACCTTGTCCTCAGTGTTAAGAAGCTTGTCCTCAGGGTGAAAAACCTCGTCCTCAGCGTGAAGAACCTTGTCCTAAAAGTGAGGAACCTTGTCCACAGTGTGAGGAACCTTGTCCTCAGATTGAAGAACCTTGTCCTCAGTGTGAGGATCCTTGTCCTCAGACCGAAGAAACTTGTCCTCGGAGTGAAGAACCTTGTCCTCAGAGTGAATAACCTTGTCCTCAGTGCTAAGAACCTTGTCTTCAGAGTGAAGAACCTTGTCCTCATAGTGAAGAACCTTGTCCTGAAAGAGAGGAACCTTGTCCACAGTCTTGTCCTCAGTGTTAACCCTATTTGTACCAGGGGTGCGCACAATGAGCGCACCCCTATAAATATTTATCCGTCATTCCTGAACAAATGATCTGATTTGCCTGTACTTTCATGACTTTTAATATTTTTCCTCTGCCGTCATGACTGTGAAAAATTTTTTCTGAAAATTCAAACTTATCCGGACGTTTGGCGACATTTGTCAAAGCAGGTGTCGGGGCCAAAAATGGGTAAATGTGGGTTGGACATTATTTTTTGGCTTCAATCACTTCCCAGGTCATAAATAACATAATATAATTAGAGAACATATAAATATGGATTATTACACATGATTTGCAAAGTAAAATATCCATAATATATTATATAAAATAGTAAAATATAGTACAACATATAATATAGCATACTATACAATACTTATAATTATATAATATAAAATACTTATTTATAATATTTTTATATATTCAAATACACATACATATTTCTTTGTATCTTCAAGGCATAACATCTCCCTGTCTTTCAGCAGGAATCAAACTTGTAGGATACATTATATATTGAACACTTTCGTACCAGAAATTCAGTTCCAAATGAGAGTAAAACATTTGCATACAATCCATAATGATTGCCATGATTTTCAAAGTAAATATTGTGTTTTCAAAACTATACTGCAGGCTCGTATCTCGTAGCTCACCTGCCTTACACTTTATGTAACACATAGTATATTGGTATAAAACATGGCTGCCATTTCGTATTTTTTCTACAAACATTTGTTGGTCGACATTTTATGGTTACACTGCAGAAGTTATGCCAAAAAAGTGCTAGAGTTTCAACAGAATGCACAATTGTGCATGCTAAGAGAATAATGGAACATTATTTATACAACAATGACACTGTCACAAAGATATGAAGGTAAAATCAATGATG